TACACATTATTTTATATAATAGTCTTGCCTATATTATACACCGTGCTATGATATTGTATAGTTAAAATTTTTTTTAAATAAAAATCCAGTCACAAAATCAAATCAATTTTAGAGACTCCAAATTTGTATGGTATAAATGCCTATAAAAATCTAATATTACTATACATGATAAGATAAATTTTTTACTTGGCTTAAAATATAAAATTTCTGTCATCAGTTAAATTAATTGAATAGGTACCTAAGTATGTAGCTAGTTTTTTCACTGTTTTACACAAATATAAGCAGTATTATAAGATGATTTTCGACTTTTTTTTCTAAACAAGGGTTTTATATTTATCGAAATAATAATGTCATAGTACATAATAATCTAAGTGATTCTAACTATAATCGTTTATTATTATTTTATTTACAATCAATGCAATTACTACCAATATTTTCGAATCCTGCAATAGACCAATTTTAAGTATCAATAATTTTAGTTGAACAATGGCTATTACTGTTAAAAATTAATTGTTGATGTTTTTTATTTAAAAATTTGTTTTATTTATAAAAATCAAGCAAATAAATAGGTGCTCATAAATTAAATGTATTCTGATAAAATGACTTAGATTAAAATAACTAATTGATTTAATGAAAAATAATTTGTCGTTACCTAATTGTGAAAAAACCTTAAAATCTAAGATTTATCAAAGAAATCAATGTAAAAACACTATCGAAATCGGCTATGTATATTTTTAAATATTCTATTCGAATGAAAAAGTTTATTTAAACATACAAAAACTGGGGATCTCGTAAAAATAAAAGTTCTCATTAATTATAGGTCGTACAAATTAAATGAACCCAAATGAACCCATTTTTATTTTAATATATGTTTTTTTGTTTTACGCTAATTAAATTGAACCATGACATAGTTGCACTTACTTCGCATAACATTATTGAATTTGTATGTAATTATAGACATCATTAGTTTATTTTTAATCTGCGAGTTTATTAAACATAAAAAAACAACGGATAATTAAAATCAATTTTTTAACAATTCAGTACCTATTTTATGGATGACCGTCACTACGAATTAAGTTAGAAAATATTTTAGTTATAAGTACAAAATAAATAAATTTTTGTTTCTTAAATACGAAGTAATTAAAAGTAAGTTGATTGCTGAATTTTTGATCCTTAAACAACCCTTCTTACTCTCATCTATAGCGGTTGACTTAATGTTAAACACGTATTACAAGTGATAGCGATTTCAGAAGAGGAAGTTCAAATATTACAGAAAAAATGTTTTATTTTAATAAAACAATCAATTCAAATGTATTTTGTACGTGAAATTATGTACATATATAAATATATATATTAGTATTTACCTAAAATATTAAAATCTAAATAGATCATAATTTCATTAATAAGAATCTTTAACATGAAATCTTTTATCAATTTATGATAATATACACATGCACAGTTGTGTATTAAATTTAGTGTTTTAATTATAAATAAATTGATCATAGCATAATATTATTAATTATGTTAAATTATCTTGCAAAGCAAAGTAGTCTGATGCTTATTCCTCAGGTGATTTTTGTTTATTTTTAACTTTAAAATTTCTAAACGCAAACAATCGAATTGGATATCACAAAACCTCCGCTATTATGATATTACTATTTACTTGGTAAAGAATGTTTATTCGTTGACGTAGTAATATTCCATGCACCGCAACAATAAACTTTCAGAATGGTCTCGTAATCGGAATAAAATTCCTGCAGTTATTAAAAATAATACAAATGGTAAGTTTGTTTCTATTGGCGTATAATAAGGGATTGCGTTTTATTATGTGTATACGAGGAAGAAATCGTGTTATAAAATATTTTGAATAAAATTTCGATTATCCTAAAATATTATTTTCAATATTCATTATTAAATATTACATAATCTATATTAAGTTTGTACGTTTTATACGTTTCATACGTTTTTTTTTTTTTTTTTTGTGTGTGCTGTTGTGTGAATTGAGGTTACTTTTATCATTAAATTATAAAAATAAAGAGTTAATTAATAATAATATATGAAAATATGTCTATTATTCATAATTACTGAGAATAATTAGAATTCTCTCCTTTGGCTCATAAAGAACAACAATAATTTTAAGTTATTTATATGGTGTTATAAGGAATGTAAAATAAAGAAATCCTACTTTACTTAAAAAATTTAAGCAAAAATTTTAATAAAGAATAAAGATCACTTCTCAAAACATCATCAGGTCCATTTCACTTCAATCATTTACATCATCCGCGTGTACTTTACTTTTCATCACCGCTTTAAACATAGTTGTTCGACAGATAAATTTGTATATTAAATGCTATTACTTATCAATGGATAATTTAAATTAATATTTAATTTATCGGTCTTATTTTTTATGTTAATTATTAACTAGTGAGTTTAACAACTCTTTACTATCATTGATTTAAAAGATCAATGTTCATACCATTATACACCGCATTAAAAATCTTTACTAAAAAATATTGTAAAATCTAGATAACTATGCAAAGAATAAAATGAGGATCACTTATTATATAAGCAGAGAATATACTAAACATAAGTAAATAAATAAAATGGATGGCGCGTGGATATATTATATAATAACATAGATGTAATACACATCTCTATTATATTAGCCGTATATTATATTATACGGTGACTGAAATCGAATTTGAATAACACGACTACATAGTGTTTCGTACAAGAAAATTCGAATAAACGAGGCCGGTCACTCTAGAGTCTATCAAAAACCATAATGTGTTTTGTATGATAGCACAATTCGAACCTTCGCTCTGGAAAAATAAATGTCGTTAAAATTTCCTCATAAAACATAAGTAATAAAATTCAACTTATTGGTTTTATGAACAAACGATTGTATATTATTAGGAGACCCTTTTTGTAACCGTTTGATAATAATGAAAGCATATTACTATCAATATCAAATACTATATTAGTTTTTTCAATGAGAAAAATAGTATGGTGTACCTTAATGTAATGATTGTACAAGTACACAACTTTTTTTTACGTTATGCTTTACCTGTGAATCAAGTCTAGTATTTCAATGATTGCAATAAATTGTATTCAGTTTTTCGCGCTTAGTTGAAAGAACGTCCTATTTAAGTTTATACTTTTTACAGATGACAACATTTTTATTGATAAATCATATTCGTTGAACAATATAATTTTATACTTAATTATTCAAATATAATAAATGTAAAACGGTTGGATTAAAATAAAAATACAATATAATATCATATTAAAAAAAAAATTCACGATTGAAATATAATAATATTATCATATAGGTATGTGTTTCACTTTCTAAATAAAGTTTATTACCTGTATTAAAAGTGGTACATGATATTATATTAGAATAACATAGCAGTAATATATTATATATTATATTATTGTATACTAGAACCATATATATAAAATTATAAAAAAAAAAGATTCACAAAACATTTCTCGGTTCAATTTTGAATTTCTTATAATATTTTATTTTTACACAGTAATGTACTTATGTTATTTACATGGTAACATGTGTTACGCTTGTTATACACATATCCACATTGATAATAGTATGTATATTTTTTTAACAAAGCATTTCATGAAGATTTTAATCACTTTCATAAGTTTTAACCTCAACTATCCAAGAACTTTGATAATCCATTTTGAACACGAGAAATCACTTAAATATTTCTTCAAATATTCTAAATCCTGCGTTCCAGGGCTTGCATTTGAAAAAAATTTATTTTACGTTATTTTCAATTAAAACGTTACACAAATTTTAAGTTTATCGTTATTCAGAATTTAAACGTTATTCAACTTTTACATTTATCGTTATTAAGAATTAAAGTTTTTAATTTATTTTATAAATTATAATTATTAAATAGTTGGAAATTAATTATTTCATTTAATGATATACTATATATTTTGCGTTATGTTTTGTTTGATGATACGTATATCATATATTTTGTTAATCGTTACGTTTTTTTTTTGTGTTATTCAATTATTTATGTTTATTGTTTTCCGTTATAATTACGTTTACAAATTTCAATCGGCTTTTTATCAAATATAACGTTATTGTTACGTTTACAAGCCCTGCAGTGCATTCAGAAACTTAGTTTACAAATTGTTTATTTCTGTCCAACGATGATCGAACCAATATTCCTTTAGTAAATGAGTATAAATTAATGTTTTAAATTGTAGGAGTTATGTTAGTAAATTTAATAACTAGATTATAAACGTACCTGTTTAAGTATTTGGGGGGATGCTTGGAGAGGCTTAGCTCTCCAAAAAAATTAAGCCCCCCCCCCCTCCCAAAATTATTGAACATTTATCAAAGTATTTAATGGGTACCTATTTTTCAACAATGCAAAGAAAGATTTCGCGGATCGAGAGAGACGTGCAAATTGAAACAACTACTCATTGACATCAACCGGTAATTTTTTGGAACGTTAAAACATGCCCCCCCTTTCTCGCCTCGGCATTAATAACGCCGCGTAAAAACTGCAAGTGTTCCTCGCCCCGGTACAACCATCCGAAATTCAATTAATGCACTTATAATGACGTCGACACGCAACGCCCATATATTATACATGCACGCCTATACACGTATACGAACGCGCGTGTGTATAGATTTGTATAGATTCTAGATCATCATATCGATCTGGATTCCCGCGACTCATGCACTTGACAGATATTCGGCGTTCGTGCGCCTTTCCACCGATCGCCGGCAAAGGCTAACGCGGGACGATTCGAAAAAAATACAATATCATGCAGCGTTGTGCGAGAAACACCGTGGTCCGACAGTTCACCGCGTAATTTTACGGTGATCCGACGATAATATTCGTCGTCGTCGTCGTGGTCGTCGGTTATTCATTCGTCAAACACACGTGAGTCGAGGGAAGCCCGCGCAATACTATATACCTATACGATGATGTTTACTACTATACTTGGAACATTATACTGACCTGTGCGAGAGTGCGACTGTACTTTGTTTTAACGGCACAATATAGTGTAATAACAGCAATAATAATAATAATAATATTATTGTTATTATGGCGCAGACGGTTAATGTTTTTTGACGAAAAATCCAATTGTCGTTTGATGGCGGTGGCAGAGACGACGGCGAAGAAGGAATTCGCGACGGCAATCGCAAACACTGTTGACGGCGACGACGACCGCGCGAGAGATGATCGGCCTCGCGCCCGTGTCCCACCGGCCGAAGGGGTGTGCGTTCACTGTTCGTCGTGTGCGTCCGGACGGCGCGCGCGGACCGCGTTTTAGCGGCACCCCATTGGCGGCCGACCCAACTCCGCCGCCACCGCCGCCGCCGCCGTCGATGAACGTAAGAGACTACGCACACGTTTCGTTACGTGTGTTCTTATTTATTAAGTTTTTTTACGCCCCGGCTTCGATGTCTTCGCTCTTTCCGTCGTCCGTTTCCGTTCGGCGGCACCGAAGACCCTGTCGACTCACACCGCGACGACGACAATGACAAACGATATTATCGATAACTGCTGCAGCCACAGCCGGTCCTGCACGGCGTTGCCCGCGAACGCCAGTGGATTTGCCCCGTCCTCGATTAGGGGGGGGGCACTGTACGCGTGTTTCTCGGTTGCATTCGATCGGGCGTTTTTGCAGAGTGGACACGAAAAATACGCGTTTACGACGTAATTGCATTCGATTATGAGCACTGCACGTTTGATTTCGTATAGGCCCGATGGTAATCGTTCGTTTTTCGCCCGACCCGAACAATTCACGAGTGAGTCATTTTCTAGAAAGCGAATTTCGAAAATCTCCTCAGAGGCGTGCTACACATCCTCTCTGGTGTAGTACAGGATTACCTGCGGCAATGTGCCAAAGTCTGTGTACACGAGTTGCGATCGACTTGGCTGCAAATCGTTTGTACACACGCTCGCGTGCGTTAGGTTCTTATTTTGGTGTAGATTACATCGCCGCGTCACTTGTCAGCGCGTAAGCGTCCGTGCGATTGATAATAGCCATGACAATATCGGAGACGAGCAAACGTGTCAATATATTTTGACTTTACACAAAAAACATACGCATCAGATTAAAATATATGTTTTTAATTTAAAAATAATGTAATTTGAATTTGAATTTTCTCGGGCCCTTCAGTGAAAACGTTCTGAAAACTCTTCTTTTGTATTTTAATTTTATTATTTGCTTACTGTAATGTAAAGTATTGGACCGCGTTTTCGGGATATCTTGGATTTTTTATTAATTCTAAAAGTATCAAGTATCAAGTAGCTATAGATACTTAAACTAAAAGGATATTGTGTTATGTAGCCAGATACTTTTTCTAGATCCCTTGCCCGACCCTGAATATGATATTTTATACAATTTTATTTTCGTAACGGCAATGGCTGCGGTGCCAATATACACGGTGTATAAGCATATTATAAACAGCTCCAATGATAAGTATCTTATGCGTACTAATTTAATGATTAACATAATAATATAGAAAGCAGAAAAGTAAAAATTATACTTGTATTGAACAAAAGTTTGAAAATATGTCTTAATGATTGAAGAAAATATAATTTTTTAAATGTAAATCCTGTCGAAAATCAAATTCATACTTAACAAGCAGTTTATCAATTAAAACCAGGCTTGTTTAAACTTTTTTAACAGTCTTCTGTAATTTTTTAATAGCATAAAGAAAAGTTTTGTGGAAATAAGAAATTTACATTTCAAAGTACTAATAATTACTAACTAGGTTGATATTTGGATAGAGAAACATGAATCTTTTATAGTATTTCCAAGTAAGCATCGGCATAAAAGGTAAAAATAAAAATAATTACTATAACGTCGAAAAGATAATTGTGAGATTTTGTTAATTTTTAATGAATAGCCTATAATATAATATTATAATATAGTGTTGTATAACTACAGACATGTAGTTATATTGCCTATACATATGTCAATAAGTACATCTTACTATTTATTTTAAAAAAAGAAATCCAACATCAGTAGTTGTCAGGGCCGGAATCTAGCATATTTTTTTTTTATCCAGGGCAAAGTATAAAATTAGCAATTTTTTTTATAATTCAGCCTTTCTCTATTATGCCACTGCATACCAGTTACTGTCTAAAAGAAAAAAATGGGAAAAGGAAAAAAACCGTAGATACTTGATTAGAAAAAATGTGAATTAATACAAACCTTAAAATAAAAATAAATGCATAACCTGTAAATTTTACAATAAAAAAATGTTCAAAATTATAAAAAAACAATGATATAAGACTCAATATACGTATAAATATAAGACATAATGAAAATATCCCATCATCTTTGGGTGGAACTAATAAAAGAAATAAAATAATTTTTGTATTACTTCAAAAAATGTTTCTAATTCAAGTATTAATTTTGTTGCGTTTACTTTGACCAAATTTAAGCAATGTGCAGGACGTAGAATAAAAACTTTTTATGAATTTTTATTTCATCCATAATACTAATTTGTAAATTTTTTTGTAAACTTATGCCGTTTCCGGTTAGGAGTCGATAATGTCTCGAAAAGAACTATATTAATAACTTGTTAGTTGTGGCTTGGTGTGGCGCGTTGTCTGCTACCAGTCGCGGAATGCGACTGAGAGTAAGTGACGGCCATAGCTACTAGTTCCCGGATGGGTGACCACTTGGGATCATAGTGGTTAAAAACCTTGCCACACATACACGTGTTTGCTATCAACCGTAACAATCGTAAAAATACAACCTACCGTACCAACCTTACCCCTTACTATAATCATAACCCCTACAAACAGCTAATGGCCCTAGTTGCCGGGTTTAAGTTCAATAAAAAAAAAAAAAAAAAAAAAAACTTGTTAGTTGTTACAGTTCTTAGAAAAATTCGTTTATTAGTATTGTTAATCGGTTTTTAACATCATGTATCGTCTAGTTATCGTGATTTGTAATTTTTAGGTATGCTATAAGAATACAATGTACTCCCATAAAATAGGAATAGAAAAATTGTTTATTGCTGATACACACAAATAATCCGTATGGGAATTGAAGATATCCATACCTTAAATTAAATAATGAAGATTGTGATTTAAATTATAACATTCATCATTAAATGAATAAAAACTGTTAATACATCTACTTATTATTTGGTAATTTGGCGCCACCGACCAAGACTTCCGAGGCAAGTTATCTTGTTTGCCTCTCCGCCCTAAATCGGCATTGATAGTTGTCAAATTAGTTTCCGTTTAAAAATAAGTATTTTCTTAAATTGAGCTGACTATTAGTTTCCGTTTAAATTTGGTGTGTACACGTTAAATCAATTCTCATTTTTACGGTAACATCATCAAATAAACGCATATTTTATTTTCAATTTTTAAAGGTTTAATTCTGTGTATATTCTAATATATTTATATCATAATTTCATTAAAAATAAATAATACTTTAATTATTAATATCCATTTCATATTAATAAATTATTAAAAAAATAATGTTTAATGGTTAAACGAGTAATCGTGCAACGAAATTGTGTATTCTATAAATAGTAAATGATTAAAGTTATGAAATAAACTACAAAAATCTCCAAAACTAAGCATAACACTGTCATATTATATAATTTAATAAATTTTTATCTGTTCAAACTTATTTTATTTGTATAAAAAAAAAAATACTTACATGTGGTTCTTACTATGATTGGTAATACATTGAATTGTGAAGTAATATTATAATACAATTCTAGATTTTAGAAGTTATATATCATAAAAATACTACAATAATAAATTTTTTTTAAAACTACATATTTTTAAAAACAAAAATACCTTGTAAGTTGTTGTCTTGAGTGCAAAATTATCTTGACACTAGCCACATAATTGTGCAATGATCAAAAGACATTTAAATATACAAAATAAAACATATATTTAGGATTTTATAGCTATGATAAGAGAATTGTTCATTCACACATCGTGGAAAAGTATAAGATATTATGAGATTAGTCGATTAAAACAGGCGTACCTAGATTATTGAGTCTTGGAACCTACCTCAATATATTATTATATATATATAATATTACCCATTAAATACAGCTCACATGTTATCCAATCAGAGTTATTATAATTTAATGTGATTATATATTTGTATTTTTTATGTATGTTAATTTTATGGCGCAAAGACAATAGTACATAATATAAATTGATATAGGTAGGTACTCAATTATTCAAGGGTTGAAATTTAACATAGAATATAGATTTATAATTAACTAATAAAATATAATATTAATAAATAACCAACACTTGTCTGTCTACAAAAGATAACGTGCAATAATTATTTTATCTAGATATAAATTCAACACTGGTCACGCGCATACATTTTGCAAAACAGAGTTCTACCAGGCTCGATTGTAGATTCCTGGTCGTCATAATTCAAACGATTAAAATATTACCAGCTATATTTTTTAATAATATTGTATCGTAGACTATGCACGTATCGATATATTTATTAAATGGAATAAATTGAATAAAACCATTTACATAATTCATAACGCATCTATTTTGTCAACACGACGTGTAATTATTATAGTGTTGTAGGTACATACGGCGAAAAAATATTTTTTTATACAACATAATATATAGGTAATATAATTATCGTCGTGTCAACGCATTTATTAAAAATATATGATTTTTATTTTTTAATATTTTTGATTCGCATATTATGATTGTTTGTATTGATCGTTAACGAATGGTGGTCAGTAAGTGTTGGCGTTGAGAGAGAGGATATAAATTATTTTTTTTAATAATTAATAGAATGACATTCGACAATTATATTTATACGAGTATTACATATAGTATAGTACGATTGCATAACTATGTTTAAGTTCCAAATCCCATAAACTCCCTAAATATTTGCTATGCACAACATGATATTATTACCTACATAATATATTATGCGTTGTGGCTATACACGCGAAAATCACAATAAGTTTTAAGTTGCTACAAAATAATATTTTTCATAAATACATTAAGGTTCTTCTGTAAATTCTTGTCTTAATTTCAAAATAGTTTATGAATTCAAATTAATGACAGTGTAGTATTCGAAAATTCCAATTAATTTTAACGCTTTTTTTCTTTATATTCTATGTTATTCATTCGCCTCAAGTCTATTAGACTTTTTTTTATATTATTCTCGCATCAAATCAACCCACTTCAAAATGTTTTCAATGTATCGTATTTACTTATCTTATATAAAAAAAAAAAAAAACTTAAATTTACCAATAATTTCCTTCTAGTCATTTTATCATGTAACTGGATAATTTTTTGCTTACTTGATCACCATTATAAATCAACATAATACTCAAAAAATATTTATTTTTTTTCAACGTTCAAATAAATATAATTATAATTTATAGGCAACATTGGAGTTTTTAATATTATAAATTTACATATTTATTTATTATAGTTGCCAAAAATGTTATATTTGCTGTTGAGCATGTATTCTTCTTATTATTACGGTACTGACGTAATGGCAAGACAAGTTAGAAGGTAATTCTAGTATACTATTATACTAGCATTGATAAATATGCTGCTATTATTTTGTGTTGAAAATGTCATCTGAATTCCAATATAGTTTTCTAAGTAAAAAATATTATATTATAATAAATAATAAATGGCATGCATCGCGTATGTACGTATAGTTATATCATTTAGCTACATCAACATTAAGTAGGTAGTAATTATGTGCGATGATCTCGTGGCTTAAAGTGGAAACCAGTTTCGAGTTCAACTTACAAATCGTCAATCGTCATTATACAGGTAGTTGGTAACTGTTCTATATCATTTATACTACCATACAAACCTATCTACTTATAAACGTGTAACCTGCTCGATATACACAATAATTCTTAAATTAAGAACTAGGTATTATTTTATTGTCATATTTTTATGCGTTTTTGAAAACATTTTTATTTACACAATGTCTATTAACAAAGTTATTATTAAATAAAATGTTTTCAATCATTTTATTATTATTATTCAAATTTTCAAATTTGTAACTTTTTACAACGAAGTAAAATAATAAGTTTTGATACATAAAAATCACATACCAAACTGATATTATGTGTAATTAGTGAAAAGCATTTGTATATTTTATATTTCCCATTTAGTGCTCAACGAAGTGTTGGAGCACTAATAGCTGGTAGGTAATTTAAACAAATTAAGTACTTATAGGCCTATAACTTATTGTGTAAAATTAAAAACGCATGTCGCCATTGAAAAAAAAATAAAAAGTAGAAAACCTCAAATAACTATTAGTAAGAAGTATAATTTTCAAAAAAAAAACATGTCTTATATTTACGGATAAAATAACCGACATTCGTTTAAAAAAAGAATCACTCTGTATACCACATATATATGTATTATTATAAATCGTTTCCCCACTGCGGTCCGGATCTTCTTCGCCGACCGAACGAGTCCAAGGCCAAGGACGATAGAATCCGGTGTTCGGATTTATAAATTTTACCGACGTGTGCTAGGCGCGTATACGTCATTCTACAGTGCGACGTGCGTGAAGCGGGTCGCTCTCTCCTCTTTCGGTCGTCCGATCGAAAACGAATGTAATAATATCAAACACGCGCGAGAAAAACAATAATATTGGTATTGTAAAGAGCATACGTCTATGTGCAGTGTTATTCGCGTGACAACCGTTCGTGCCGTTCTCTCGACCGCGCCGCGAAAATCCGCAAAATCCTTCCGCGGGAACGTTGCAAACCCACGGTTTACTTAAGGTAAGGCAGAAATACGTAATCGTGATACGTACCATGGTGGACATCAAGAGGGTTTTCGTGACGGGCGGCGCAGGATACATCGGCAGCCATTGCGTACTGTCGCTGCTGGAAGCCGGCTACGATGTGGTGGCAATCGACAACTTCGCAAACAGCGTCGGCAAGGAGCACACCGCCGCTAGCTTGGACCGGGTTCGCTGTATCACCGGCAAGGAGATCACTTTCTACAAGTGCGACCTGTTGGACGTCCAGCAGCTCGGCGACATTTTTGACAAAGTACTTTGCCCCGTTGATTTTATATTATACGTTTCTGTTATATTCTAGAGTCGCACTATTAGCTCCGGGAAATCTGTCGACACGCGAAACAGTTATTTAACAGTTATATATGTTTTCTGCCACTCAAATCGGCCGTGGTCTAAACGTCTAAAACTACCCGTACAAAACCAAATCGTCGTTCATTCGTCCGACGATGTACCGTATGCGGTGGACAAATATCTGAGTCAATTTGGTTTAAACACGTTATCGTATTATTCTTTATGCATGACATCGTCCTCTTAAATGATACAAACGAAATTATAAGTATATTTTTTTATTATCCATAGTCACCTAATGGTCTGAAGTTAGATATAGGTAGTATGCCCTTCGTTTATAACGGTAATATTTATTACATATAATAATATAATCAATTCATAATGATCATATAGCGCGGAACTTAAAGCAATCTAATTTTCCAGTATGATTTCATCATGATTTTAATATTATTATTGTAACGCAGATCGCAATAGATGTAACTTTGGTTAGGTGTATATATATATATCAAGAAGATTGTAGATGCAACTATGATGTATGGTAAAATTTATAAGAATGCTTAAATGACGATGACCTACCTGTACACTTGGGTTGAACGTGGTTCGCTTTTATGTAATACTAAGTAAAATATAGCTGAATAAAATAACACCAATGCAATACAAATTTTAATTTACTATTAAATACTAAAATTATTGTGGGAATAGTCAATAGATTGATATATTTTTTAATGGTATAAAATGTGTATATGAAACGTATGAAGGTATTTAATATAGGTATTATTTGTGTAAACATTTGAAAAATATAATCATTTTTAATACGTAATCTCCTAGTAAGCAAATCCAATTAAAAACACGTTGAATACGAAACACATGCAAGTGCTGACAAGCACCTCTTTCCCGCACCAACGATAAATACCTATTCTATATAAATAATTAACATACTTGATCCAACACAAATTCGTATTACTTTACATTAATTATTGTATAACTAATGTATAAATCGAAATATTAATTACTTATTACAAATGTTTTTTTTTATTTAACATCCAGAAAAATATTGAACGACGGAGCCTGTTAAGCATTAATATTATAAATATATGAGTACCTACCTACCACCAATTTAACTATAAATAAGTAGGCACTGATTTTGTTTTTGTTTAAAAATTAACACAGGAATAGTAAAAATTTAATGCTTAACACTTTAAACAGGGTGTCAGAATTAACAAATCGACATGATTCAAAAATTATACAGAGCTATATGAGCTGTGGCCTATGTTACAACAATTAAAACTGAACATTTGAAAACTTTGAAGCTTTAGAGCAGTATATTTTATTGTTGTATTTAAAACTGCGTAACATTTTTGACTGAAATATCTTCAAGACTGAATAGTTAGGCGATATAATGTTACTCCAAAGTTATTTTCATAAAACAATTTAAAAATATTATAAACACTTGAAGGTTTTACTTGATAAGCGCTTACATTTCAAAGTTGAAATTTTTGGATTAAAATTAAGCATATAACGTAAGCAAAAACTCCGGTTGTTATAATTTATTTTGAAATTAATTACAATCTGCAGTTATTGCCGTTCACGTAAATACTACGTATCAAATATTTTTGGTTCCGTCAAAACATTCGTAACTAGTAAGAGCATATTCTGTATTCAGATAGTACTTTTCTCTGGAATTTTGGACAATTTGCGTAAGAAAAAAAATATTATAATTATTTTTAAGATTTTAGAAAACAATGTTGGGGGGGGGGGGCGATCCCCAGATGACCACCAAATGCGTACACGTGCCTATAAGACAAATTTACTTACATATCATGTGTTATATACCTATTTTATTAATTTTAACCCTAACCTACCTTTGTGGGGCGCAGTGTCTTATTGCATGGAGTTCCGGGACTTTTATTTACATTAAACAAAATCTATCTACTTTTTTATTATTTTATTATTACACCATGGTTATTGTGTAATCATTGTTAATCGGTGTTATAGCATACATTCGACTGTGTTATACACTTTGCTGCAGTGAAATCGGTCGGTGAATCAATGAAACAACCACTTATGTATTACAAGAATAACATAATAGGCGCAATGAATCTTCTGGAAGTGATGGCCTCTCACGGGTGTTACCAGCTAGTGTTCTCTAGCTCCTGTACCGTTTACGGGAACCCGTCGTTTTTGCCCATAACTGAAAGTCATCCAATTGGCAACGTCACTAATGTGTATGGCCGCACGAAATATTTCATCGAAGAAATACTTAAAGATGTCGTTAACTCAGAACAAGTAAATACCTACTTATCAAATAATACCAATAACAACTTGATTTTAAAAGCATCCACGTAATATACAAATAGTTCGAGTCATGTTGTTTTTTTCGTCATGAATGAAACGTCTCGATTTGTTTTCTGTTCTATGTAAAAAGAAATGGAACATCGTGAGCCTGAGGTACTTTAATCCAGTAGGAGCTCATTCGTCGGGATTGATCGGAGAAGGCCCAACGACAAACTTTTCAAACTTAATGCCATACATAGCGCAAGTAGCGTTGGGCAAGAAACCCAAGCTGTCAATCTACGGTGGAGATTATGCAACCCCTGACGGCACCGGTACATAATATTATTTACACGTTGTATAACGACAATGTGCTGTTATTAGTTTTTCATCAATTCTTCTGTTTACAGGTATAAGAGATTATGTTCATGTAATGGACTTGGCCGAAGGACATGTGGCAGCTTTAAAAAAATTACAATCAAAGCATGCACATTTACAGGTTATTATTATTATGGTTATTTTTTTTATAAGACATTCACACTATCTACACAATTTCTTGTTTGATACATACAAATTTACACAATAGGATCATAAATGTGTTATTAAATTGGATTTTTACAAAATATAATATGAATTTTCAAATATTTTTTTAAAGGCACCTAATAGAAAAATATAAATCTTAATACAGGGAAAAATAATTATAAACGAATAACGATATCATCACAATCAAAGATAAAAATGTATAATTTATTGAAATGTATTTATTATATGTTAATTTATAATAATGATTATAGGTTTATAACTTAGGAAGTGGACAAGGAACTTCTGTATTGGATTTTGTAAAAACCTTTGAAAAAGTAACAGGTGTCAAAGTACCATATACAATTGAAGCACGCCGTGAAGGTGACATAGAAACAATGTATGCCAATTGTGATCTTGCAAAATTTGATCTTGGTTGGACAGCTAAATATACCTTAGAAGATATGTGTAAGTCAATACAGAATGTTATCAAATAAGATATTTATAATATACATATCATACATTTTAGGCAAAGACTTTTGGAAATGGCAAACCATGAATCCAAATGGTTACAAGTCAAATGATATAGCAAGTATGAATGGTAAAACAAAAGGACATTAAATTACCTTTAGTGTTTAGAATGATAGTCAGTGTAATATGATTTTTTTTTTGTTTGCCCATACTAATAAAAATTTGTCATTTTTAAATGCAGCTAAACAACAGTAGAATAATTTAGAATATTCTTCAGGCAAAGATGAAGTGGCTATCATAGTTTTAAGCCAATCAATAATCCTAGAAGACTATAAAGAATTATTTTTAACAAAAAAAAAAAAAAAAAAAACAAAAACAAGTTGAACAAATATTATTCTTACCTGTGATGTATTTTTAGAGTATGTTGCTAAAGCAACAGGAAAAACTGTTTTCCTGTTTAAACAATTAAGTTTTTTGTTATTAGTGAAACTTAAAGTGTCATATCCTGATAATAAGATAATGAGATTAATGAAAATTGAACACAATACATCAAATAAATCCTGAAATAAACATTTTAAAGCTATATGAATAGGATTTTTTGTTATACATAAAATATAAAAATACCACAAAAATAAATAATAAATAAAACATTTTTAATAAGTTAACAATACCAACATTTGTAAAGGAGTTTGTTTTCTTTATGAAACTGGTTAAATAAATCATGAAATTAGTTATAAACTCATTGTGATATGGAATGAACATTTTGTGTTTAAAGACTTCAATAACTGTATCACATAAAAATTGATAATTTCTAAAAAAATAAAAAAATTATGACTTTAAATAGATCTAATGTGGCTGTTAATGAAAAAACTACTTTACTTGAACTGATTGCATGCTTGAATACATTCATTCAGTGGATCAAATGATGAGTTACTAGAAATAAAATTCTGTGCACTGCAAAGAATTACAAATTTTAGCAGCATTGATTCTTGAACTGGGTACGGTCTTAAATTTTTCAGTATTTCAGTTGACATAGATAAGCAGCAACCAAGGAATGCATAAAGTATTTCCTATAATTAATCAACATAAATATTTTGGATCTTATTTTTTAGATACACTGACAAACCTTATTTTTCAAATTTATTGTACACCAGATATTTTGTAAAATATTGCAAATAAAGTGTACATTTTCCATATTTGTTTGAGGGCTTTGTAATATTTGTTTAAATTCTGATAAAATATGACATAGCAAGTCAACATCTATGAAATTAAAAATATTAAAAATACAATAAAATGCAAAAAATAAAATTAATTATTTATTTAAAATAATAGTAACTATACCTAAATTGTTGTTAGAATGTATTTCATGTATGTTATTTAAAATTTCATTAACTACATTTGTCACAAATTGCTTTTGTAAATCATGAAAAATAATATTGGAAACTTTATATAATACTGTAATCAGTAATTTAATTTGATTTGTCTGAAAAAAATATGTAATATGATTTATAAGTAAGTTACTAAACACATATTTGAGAGCATGAATTTTACATCAAAATTTGAGTGATGATCATAGCATTTGTGTAGCAGTCGAAATGCCGAAGTAGATTTTATTGATTGCTTAGCAATTAATATAACTGACTCTTTCCAAAGCTTACTATTGGGCCCTTCAATCACATATTTTTCTAAAAATCCCCAATCAAATGGATACATTGGTTTATCAGCACCATTAATAACAGCTAAACAAGCCACTTTGGTATCTTCATCAACATCCAACATTTGTTTTCGTTTTGGAACAATGAATGACATTAATCCTCGAGCAATGCTATGATCAGAAAGGTGTTTTAAATTTTTTGGTTCATCTGTAAATTAAAATTTAATTAAAACCATACCAAATAATAATATTTCATTATAACACTAACTGTCTGATTGGACTCTTATTATGACATTTTTTTCCAATTCTTGTCCAAGCCAAATTGATAACATCATTTGAGCTTCATTAATAAATTTTTTGTTAATATTTTGCAGAAATTTTACCCAACACTCGCCTATATTAACAGCAAATATTTTATTAATTAAAAAGAAAGAACAATTGATTGAATAGCTAACAAAAAAATAAATAAATAACACCATTACCAGGTATAGGTCCATTAAATAAATCTAATTTGTCTGAATCCTCTAACTGTGTTACAACTTTTGGATAACTTCGAAATATTTTTGGTAAAACATTGAAAGGCATGATTTCTAAATCTGTGCCAGACAAAGACCTAAAACATTAAAATTAAAAATTATATAAAGGTTTGAGGAATTTAAACTTACTTAAGAGCACATTTAACGGTATTATCATTGGAGTGTAATACCATAGACCATAACTTTTGAAAAAAATCATTGCGTTTTTCATTTTCTGTTGTTTGATTAGATGAAACCATCAATAAATTACAATAGCTATACAAAATAAAAATTAATCATCATACATTTTTTTTTTTTATGCTTTTTATTTAATTTTACTCTATCATACCTAGGTATAACACAAGGGTGGTGAATGTCTAAAATTGTTTTATCAATCATATTTTTAAGAGATTCTGGATTTATGTACTCAGCTATACACAAATCTACTAAAGATTCAAACGTTAATTTCATTGGCAAATACATAGAGTGTTTTATGTAAAATCCAAGCATTTGTTTTAAAACAGATACTAAATCTGAATTAGGACTAAAAATAAAATATAATTTTTACAGTTAATATTTATTCTATGTTTATTTTTAGTGTTATTATTACTTTGATTTGACCATTTTTCTAATAGTATATGACTTAACAACATTCCATTGCCATCCTGGTTTATCTTTTGATAAACAATACAATAAAAATCTGTAACATCTAACTTCTGTTATCCATAGATCATAATACATATCAATACTAAATTTCTTCAGTGTTTCATCGTTGCTATTTTCAAAACGTTTAATAAAACTAATTATTAATGAAATGTTTTCCTAAAAAAGATAAAATAAAATTAATATATAAGTGAAAAATTAAGAAGACACTGCACAATGTCTTAGAAAAATTGATTTGCAAGAAAATGTTTTAGAAAAAAAAAAATGATTAGAATTATTATACATAGTACGCTATAGTTGTATACTGCTGAAAATAAATATAATTTAAATAGTAGGTATTTTAGACTTAGAAAAAACATATATTTTAATCAGGGATTTGAAATCAACCATAATTATTAAATAGGAATCATTTACTTAAAAATTGTCTCAAGCAAATGTAATAGATTTTTCATCAGACCAACAACACTCAAATTAAATTTTGAATTTATCGTGATCTCTTATAATGATTAGTATTTATACTAAATTGCAATGAAACAAAAAAAGGTACATAAAAAAAAACAACACTAAATTCTGCATAGTTAAGTGTTTCCAGTGCTTGTTTTAATGAATAACTCTTTTAAAAGTACTGTTACAATTACAAAAAAAAAAAATTTAAATGATTAAAAGCAATTAAAATTATGTCTTTGATCAATTCTAAGTTTCATAAAATTGGAAACTTAATAGAAAATTAAATTTTGATATTGATTTTTTTTTCTATTTAAAGATTTTTATTGGTAAAATTATTAGCTATTTGAAGTAGATTTATTTTAGTGTAAGGATCTAATTAAATATAAATGTATTTATTATTTCTAAACAAAAATAATAAACTAACCGGTATACAGGCTGCTGTAGGTATGACTTTCATTAAATCAAATCGACCATAATGACTTATTTCTAGATCTACAGAATATGAAATTAATGGCAACAAATAATGTTTATTTAATAATTTTAATATAGTCTGTTGTTGAGAGCGATCACAGATTTTACTTAAGTAAAGACCAGCCAAATAAAAATTAAACTGAATATCATTTAATAAATCACTGGTATGATTAATATTGGACAACCATTTAGAGGTAAACTGCTTGTTACTAAATTCTGGACATAGTCTGAAAAATCAAAAAATGAATAGTAAGTTAGTTTACACAATAAATTCTAATATATTTTAACCACAGTTACATAAATATGCTAATAAAGTGTCTTACTTAATCAATGAATATGATGTCATTAAAATCGAATCACTTGATAAAAATGGATATAACTCATGATTATTAGTGCATAACTTGGTTGTAGCAGCTAAAAATATAAATATATAAGATAAACATATTTTCATAAAATCTTAACTAAAATATCATACTATCAGAGTTAAAAGTTGACAACATTATAGACATTTTTTCAGTATCAATTAATTTTGTACGATTCCATTGCAAAATGCTTGCAACAACAGTCTGTGCAATTATTTTATGACACCCATACTTTTGAACAACATTCAAGCCTAAAAAAATAATAACCAAAATTGTAAGTAAAATAAAAATTATTGAGAAACTTAAAAAAAAAAAAAAAATATTTATTACAAAAATCGATAGTTTTGTGTACAAATTTTGAAGAGCATACACTTAGAGTTCTGGAACAACACAGTAATAAAATATCAGATGTACATGGACATAACATTAAAAGACTATTCAAACGTTGAAACATGGAAGTTGGATCAAAACCGCGTGAAATAAGTTGAATTGATGTTTGAATTACACACAAACATAAATTGTATTTTATTGTATGTAGAGTATCCGGAATTGTGACACAAAATTCTTCTAAAATATTGTACAAAAATAGAATATCATCCAGATTATCAATCTGTAACACATAATCATCACAAATCATAATAAAAAATATAATAATATATAAAATAATAAATTCAATATTGATATATCATTTTACCTGTAACCAAGAATAAATTTCAAATAATAAATCATAATCAGATGCATAGTTGAGTATTTCAACAAATAGTCTGACAAACATAATACGATGATTTGATGATGTTTGAGACAAAAAAATAAATTTAAATAATCGTTTTGTAACATTTAACCAGTCTGTTACAAACCTAAAACATTAATTTAAATTCATGATAAGATTTACTTTAATATACATATAATTATTAATAAACCTAATTAATTAAAATAATTTATTACTCGTGATCATCAAAATGTGTACATATTTTCATATGAAACAAAATTACATGCCATTCTTCAATACTTTCATCCATTATTTTTATTAAAATGTCAACCAAAATGTTGATCTTATTGTTGTTAATGTCTTTGCTTTTCAACCCAAAAACTATTAATTCAAATATTTCTTGTATAAATCCAGTTTTACATTTAATTTGAGGATTTAGGACAACTAACCAGTCGATTAACAATTGGTTTTGATAGTTATTAGACATCATAAATGTACATAAAGCTCGTAATGCTGTAGTACTAACGATCGGATTTTGGTTACAACAATATTCTTGAAGGAGTAACATTTCAGGAATCTATAATAAATTATTATTGTTTTTAATTAATTAAATTTATAAAACACATTCAACTCTCGATAACTCAAAATTAAATAACACCAATATGAGTGAATTTAATTTAAATGCTATATTTTTAAAAGGTGTTATCTTGAAGTTTTTAATATTGCAATTTTTTAAATCCTTTGAATTTTTAAGTTACTAAGAGTCACCTGTATATTAAGCTTGTAACATCAGTATTAATGTATACAATTAGACAAAATTATGGTACATTACTAAGAATAGAACAAGAAATAAAATAAAAATGAATAATTACATTTGTCATGTCTGAACGGTTTCCTTTGATTTTAGACTTAATCATATTAACTAGGTTGTCCATTGCCTAAAAACGAATACAATTTGAATTAAATAGGTATTTAAATCTAATAAACAATGACCATTGAATTATATTTACAGCAGCTACTGAAATTGTATTTCCAGAATCTATTTTTCGTTTGATCTCAGCTAAAGTGTCCATCGTAAAATATTTTATATACTACAACAAAACAAATTTGTACACTACTTGGGTATAAATGTTGTAAAATAATTAGTAAATAACAAAATATCAACAATTATTTACAGCTCACAAGTGGCAAAGGAATACTGACACGAGTGATATCTCAAGTACAATAAAAATTTAAAATACTTAAATATTTTAGGTATCTATGCTAATAAGTAATAAGTAATAATCAACTGTAATCAAGTATCAGACTGTCAACATTTAACAACGGTATCACAACTACAGAATAACTGCCATAACCCAGATACCGCGTGTTTGATAATAATCACATCTGATAGTCTGATAAATCTGATAAGTACTTAGAAAATAAAATTGTAAATAGAAGTTACCTAATATTAGTATATTTTTTTTAATGATTTTTAATTAATTGTTTAAGTAAATAGCATTAAGAATTATGTTTAATGTTCATACTTATTTTATTTAATTTACCTTTGTTAACTTTATATAAGGTTTTTTTTTCTAAAACTGATCTTGTGTAAATACCTAGATATTTTTTAAAAATCTCTCAAGTACATAGGTACTATAATATTGTACTAAAACTTTAATTTAACGGTTAGATGTTTAAATTGCGGTATATGTTACCTTTTAATATTTGTTTAAAATGTGGAACATCAAAAAGCTTAGTATATTTAAATTTGACCTCAAATAAAAACACATTTGCTGTCGAAGACAAAGTACACAAATTGGAAAATTCTACTTGCAAGTACCATCATGATGCATTAGATGCATTTACTAACAGTCTTGTTTTGGAAAATATGATGAAATGGAAATCAGAAAATTATGTCTGCACAAACCATAAATTATCAAAAATTAAATCACGTTCTATATTTGAACTCTGTGATGATCCAGACTATCTGACTACATATCTACAGCAATGCCTTGATGGTTATTCCCAAGTCACTGTAAGTGCATTAAATCAATTCAGGTTTACAATGGCCAGACGTGGAAAAATTAATGGCTTAATATTAATTGATAGACTCAACAAAAAGTATGGTAATTGTATTGAGGAATCTGAATTACAAATGAATTTTGCTGAAGCATATTGGACAAATGGTGATTTGTATAGCATGTTTAAAATTTTTGAATCATTCTACTCTATAGAGTCTGCAAAAGTTAATTATATATTAGAACCTATTATTCATACTATAGTCACATCACACGGCGCTGCATCAGTAGTTATGGTTTCAAAATTTGTCAACTTGATAGTTATCAAATTTGGAGATTATCATCCAATGTCCATCCTGTGGAAGTATTTATTTTTAAGTGAATTATTTAATGACAATCTAGAAGCTGAAAAGTTATTAGAACAAAATACTAATTTAATAGAAAATATCCAATACCTTTCACTAGCTCTTACAAGAAAGTTATTAAAAACACATAAAATTAATTATGTTCAAAAAATATTGATAGTTCTGTTAAAGCATAAACGAATGGAACCTTATCAATGGAATTTAAGTTATCTATTTGAGTATTATTGTGAGTATATTATATTTATAGTTAATACATATTTTTTATTGACATTTTATCTACCAATTATTTATTAAGTACTGAACAACAGGTTAACAGCTACATTAGTTTTTGGTATATTATCTGGGAAGGGAGGCGGGAGCTATGTGTACTATTTTTGGTACACTGCTGTTTTTCTAATAATCTTGTGTGTATCTTAATTGATATATTGGAATCTTTGATGAAAAGTGTCATGTGTATCTAATAGGGACATGGTAAATATAATTTAAACTCAGGAAAATATTTTGTAACCTACTAAGCAAACGAATTCATTAATTTAGTTACAAATTACAACTTATAATTACATATTAAAGTACAATAATATACTTTTTCATAACATTTTAGGTTTGTAGTGAGAAAGGCATATTCACTTTTTTGTGTTAGCTTGAATGGTAATTAATCGATATACCATAAATTGTATATATAACAATTAACCTGATAATATTAATATATTGATGCTATTTAAAACAAAATGCAAATAAGCATTTGGTTTAATAAAAAATTTTATTAGTAATAAAAAAATATACTAATTAATAACAATAAAATATGATTCTTCTAAAGGCTATTTATAGGCCATAGGTGAAATATGTAATTTTTACTGCTTGTCTCCCCCCCCCCCCCCAAATTATTTCATTAATATTAAGACAAACGTACCAATATAAATAAATATTTAGTCATTATATATGTTACTTTCATAAAATTACTTTAATTATGTTAACTATGAGGTTGTTATGAATGATAACTGTGCAATGGCCGATGAGTCATCAGTTATTACTCATAATTATGTTATGATAACGATGAGACCTATGTTGGGTATATTAGTGAACATCAATGATATTAAAAATACAAGTGTACTAAAAAAAAGTTCGAATTAATAGAATATACTTATATTTCTATTGATAATATAATATTTTGTTTGCTTAAACAAATGTTAATTTAAAGATTGAAATAAATAAGAAGCGCTTATTAAATTAATTTGTATTTTTATTAGAGTAGTGTGTTTTGTGTTTTGGTGTAAAGTTTGACCACTATACTTATGAATTTACTTAAATATTGTAGTTTTCATTACACAAAATAACAACAATTTAATTCAAAAATATTTTATTTTAAAAACAAATAAATTTTCATGAAAAAAAAAAAAAAACATTAATTATAATTATACATGTTTATACAAGCATATTATTTGAATAGTATTAGAATAGTTTTTGTACTTGACAATTTAAATATTATTATTCAGTCAGTATTGATTCAAAAAAATATTTATAAGTTTTTATTTATATTTTAGACACATTAGGAAATGTTAGCCAATGCAAAGAAATTATGAAACACTCCATTGAATTCAATGTACCATTAACAGAAGCACAGCAATCACGTTTAATTAATTTGGTGTTCAACAACAAACATCAACAAAAAATCAACAAGGAAGTGACTGCGACTATATTTAAACTTATGTTTTAAATTAGTTTAATATTTGTCAATACAATTTTTTTTCAAAACCAAATTGTTATATATTGCTTTGTATTTTATATTATGCTAGTTATGTTAAATAATATTGATAATAAAAAACAATATTTAAAATGGTAACACTAACTGTAATACTGTGATTGTTAAATTCTTCAGGGGAGTTTTTTTTAATAACAGCTGGTAATTTAAATATAGAAAATATACATAAAAAACAAGTTAGAAAAAGTGATAATAATTAATAGTTATAATTAAAATGTAATAAAAATAAATCCATCCCATTCAAACATTAAAAATTGACTTATGTATAAATTCTTAAACATAATGACCCAAATGAATAATTTTATTTGGTCTTTTTTATTATAAAAATAAATTATTATCAAAAAAGAATACTTTGAAAAATTAATATAATAGACTAATATTTAATATTAACTAGATATTGAATAAATTAATATTGATAAGAACAACTTAACAATACTATTAACAAGGTATCACAAATACATAATTCGGATTTTACACATTATATAAAATAATAGATCTATAGTTTAAGTTTGAATTATTTGATGAGGTTAAATAGTACATGTTTTTACTAGTATATAAACAATTATGATAAACTCTTGTCAAATTAAATGATTCCATGAATAACAATTTCATAGAAAATGTTAGTTAAGCAAAGAAAGTACTCATGTAGATGGTAAAATCAGTAAAACTTCGGCTGTAAATTAAACAAACATGTATTGTAAGTAAGTAAAAAATACTAATTTTATTAAGTACATACTTGCTCTGGTGTTGTAGTAGATGGGACAAAATTATCATCATCATCAGAATCATCATCACCAGAAGATTCACTACGATCTTTTAAGGCTATAAACCAGAATTAATTATTGAAAAAATAAAAATATTTTCAGCAAGTTAAATTATAATAAAAACTTACAGTTTCTGAGATAGTTTAGGTTAGTACTATTTTGTTGTGCCTTATCTCTAGATAGTTTATCAAAACAATTTAAGCAGACGCGTAATTGTTTAGTTGATTGATTTGGTAATAAAAATCGTTTACTAGAACATGGGCCACACACTACAGTACCACAGTTACGACAATGATGCTGAAATTCAATAAAAAAATTACAATTTCAAAAAGTGTTTAATATTTATAATTTTTTCATGTGCCATTACTCTTCGATTGAGGACTGTAAATTGAGTCTTTTTACAATGCATGCAAACATTGGCTTCAGAATCTGGAACCCATACTGCAGCATGGACTTCTACAGCTTTTTTACCACTTTTTCTTAACAGATCTTCAATACATTTATTAATGTGTGCCATCCATTCTTGTTTTTCTGTTGAAGTGGCCGCATAGACAGCAAATGACTTAGATGCTGTCCGAATCAACCAACCGTTTCTTAACTCTTAACATTAAGATACACAATGATACTTTTTTTTTAATATGTCAATAGTAATTTATTGAGTAATCCTTAGTAATTGATTTTGTAACTTACGCCCTTCGTCTTGTAAAGATTCCAATTTTACTTCTTCTAATGGTATAACATGCTGCTTGTTGTACTAAAAAAAATTTATGGACTTCAGTAAATAGTAACAACACTGTTAACAATGGTATTTACTTTTTTTTTTATTAATAAGTATATTTCCATACACTAGAATGTCATTGAATAAAAAGAATTGTCTAGGTTTTGGTTTTTTTCGACAAATTTTTGTCAGTACACCTTCACCAACTAATACACGCCCAGGAACGGCTAGAGGCTGCAATGATAAATGCAGAAATGTATCAGTAAAATACAATAACATAATTAAATATGAGTAATTTTATTGTCAAAATGTAATTTTTTCAAACACTCACTAGTAGGGATTTAACTTACTTGTCCTGAGCTACCAAAACAACTTTCGACCATAGTAATGCGACGAGCATTTGCCTCACTGTTTACTGAAAGTTCAAATATTTATTTACACACACATATAAGTTGATTTTAAAATAAAAGATGAAATAAAATAAGTATTACTCACCTAATCGGTCCACCATTGTTTGAACACTATTTTGCAATCTACTGTATGGGTTAAAATAGCCAATATGATAACAGATAATTAGTAATATAATAATAAATTAATACTATTCAAGGTCTACAGCAGTTACTATAAAAGGAAGTAATTTCAACAAAAAAAAAAAAAAAAAACTTATACTTGTTACTTCCTAACAGTCCTAGCCAGTTAACGATTTTGAAAACAATAAAGTCCGTGTCATAACTCACAATCACATCACAATATTTATCAAATTCTTATCATTTTGACGTCATTGTCGTTTCATTATTTTGTATTCTACAGTTCTACACATAATTTTATAACATTAACATTATATTATCGTATTATGCTTTTACACAATCGCTATGTTACAACTTTAAAGTTAAAAATTTACAATCACTGTTGACACTATAATAAGTATGTACACCGACGAAACGTACCAATTTCTTATGAATGATTGGATTTAAAAAATAAATGATTTTTATATTTATGTTTATCGTATACAGCCGGATATTCTATATTTCAATGTTTGTGTGTTATTAATATTGTAGCTGATTATGAGATCAAAGTAGGTAAATATTGACAAGTCGTTATCTGTCTAGAGAATACTTTTTTGATTGTTTGCTCACTTATAATAACACAGGTATCTATTTAATAACCATTTTGATTTATGTACTTTGCAAACTATTAAATGTTCAACATAACATGAGTGACAAGCCGTTTTTATCGGACACAATTTTATAAAACGTTGACAAAAAATTCGTAGTCATACGAACTACACGCAATAATATAGCCTATAGGTACCTACCTAATAATATTGTCTAACACAAATAGGGGTTGACCGTTTTTCGTGTAATTCTAGCTAGTCCGTGTGTACGATATTATGCAATAGGCGCCTAATAATAATAAATTGTATTATTGGCCTAAGTACTCTTATCGTATGCGCTGTTGTACGCAGTAGATAATACGAGTATGCACTATGCACTATGCAGTTTCAAGTAGGTATACTGCATTTTCATTCTTCAGCGCGGTGTGCGTATTGCGTAGGTATCGTATTCGAAGATAATATTATTATGCTAATGTGTTATCGTCTATCGGCCAGGAGTCCAAAACGCAGTTAGTCTCAGGAGTACCTGACCTAAAGGCACGATTAATTATTATAAAGTGTCATTGGTATTAATAGTATTATTCCTACTAATAAAACCTACTTAATTTATAAAATGTTCAATTTAAATAGCCAAGACTTGAAAGCTCTTCATAATGGTTGTTATTACAGCAACCAACTTGTAATATTAAAATTTATCCACACATTAGGTATTATGCACGATTATTTTTATTGACATTTCGAGCTCAAATTTTAACGATAACCATTTAATGCCTACCTAGTTATTTTGTTGAAATTCTTGTTGTAATTCAAAAAATACTTGAAACATTCACCACTAGTCGCTACATATATTATTATTATTATTATTTACTATAAATACAAAACGGATATGTTCAAAATATTTTGATCAATAATAAATTACTTATGAAACAGAATTAATTAAATATTTAAATCTAATCTGTTTTTTATACTGCGAATCTATTTCACTGTTTTACAGCGCCTATGGTTGGTATTGAGTATTAGCTTTTATTTATTTAGTATGAACTAATCAATGACAAGGTAATAATCAACACCAGTATTAGTCGGTTTTTTTTTTATCGCATCATGTGTGAGAATACATAGGAACCCGTTTAACGGAAATTCATTATAATTTTATCGCGTTTTTTCTGGCAAGTCGTATAAACAAATGATCATATTCACACAGTACCTATGTAATAAAAAAAAAACTTATAACGCTGTAAACTAAAGACGTGTTCTGAAAAAAAAAAATACTCAAAATGTTTAAATTTAATCATAAATGAGAGATAAAAAATTATTGAAATGTTTACTATATAAAACATCATTTTTTTTTTTGAATTTAGGTCAACAAAAACCTTAATTTGTCAATTTTACACATATACAATTTTTTCTTTATGAATGACGATAATATCACATTGGTTATCAATAATTTTTGTGAAGAAAGTTGGATCACTAGAAAGCGGATGCTCAAACAAAGGATAGATAACTCGAATATAAGAATACTGTAGCACTTATAAAACAGTCATAAATATTATAGCAGTCATAAAATTTACAATATTCTGTAAGTATTTGACATTTGTGTAGGTAAATATCTACGGTATAATATTTTGGAAGTTCGTAATTTGCACCAAATTAAATATATGTAATTTGCACCACTGCAGGTACCTAGCTAAAAATAGTGTTTGTAATTTGCACCAAAATAAGGGTATATAATTTACACCATAGTAAGTAGTAAAAAATAGAAAATGTAATTTGCACCAAAATTAAAAACGATTATTTTAAGATAGGTACTATCGAAAGAATAATCGTACAAGTTTCGATATTTGAGAAAATTTTTTACTTCATTAGAGTTCTCACCGATTTTCAAACAGATACGTATATAAAACTATAGAGTTTACATGAACCTAACCAAATGACTTCTTAAACAAGCGAACGAACAAATCAAATTCAAGTTACTTTGGACCAGTATAACAATAAATTGATATCAACAACTTAATTCATTGAATTATTTGCATACAAATACAAAAAACCTGTTAGTATCAAAACATAAAGTGTAATCTAACTAATCTGGTAATAAATGCAACATCAGCTTGTTTTATTATTTTTTTTTAATATAATATGCTTAAATATCAAAAATTGTACGATTATTCTTTCAATAGTACCTATCTCATATTAATTGATTTTGGTGCTAATTACATTTCCTATTTATTACTACCTACGATAGTGTAAATTATATACCCTTATTTTTGGTGCAAATTACAAACGCAGTTCAAAAGTTTTGGTGTAAATTATACATGTTGTAAATATTTAGGGTCAATTTTGGTGCAAATACTTTATTTAATTGACTATACTCAATATTTTAGTTATGAATTATAATATATGTGCTA